ATACATTCACGGAAATGTAATATTTTTGCTGAAATGACGTACGTATTAAAGTGGAAAGTGGGATAAAATCGTGACGAAAACAATGACTTTCGCTTTCTTTCGTTCAAAAGATGTTACCGTAATCACTTTTCGAATGGTTTAGTTAAAAAACTGTTGTATTACAATAATATTCCCTCCTAATTGACTTGAATAAATACTTGAATGGAAATATACAATATTTTTGTTGAAACTACCCACGTTTCAGTGTAAAGTGTTGTAATAATTAATGGTAAACAATTTGCCTTCGGCACTCGTGTTTCAGTTTATCGGACGTAGAGCGTTTTTACTGAAGGTTTTGTTGTTCGCTTACCCTCAAAAACGTGGGTCGAACTATAAACGAGGAATATCATAAATTAACGATTTCTTGGTCAAAAAATCAGGGTGGACAGATAAACGAGGGGGGGTTTATAGATGAGTATATACCGTATGTTGTCACAGTTTGATTGCTCGTTTTAAAGTGGAGACCACGTGGTCGCTTGTTGTGGCTGTGCAGCTGTGGCGCTCACGCATGCGCACATACACACAAAAGCCCGCTAAAAAAAAATAATAATAATAATTAGTTTTCCAAAAGTCCGGATTCTCGGGTGGTCCGGATTTTTGGCATCCGGAGTTTTGGACTTTTACTGTAGATATATATTTTTTTACGGGGAACAGCCCATCCCGGTACAGGTCATCGACCCAAAATAAGTTAAAAATAGAAAAGAAATCGATTATATTATTCTTCACCAAGAAGATCCCGGGAAACCAGCTTTTAGAAGTGAGACAGATTGTATGACTATGGAAACACAGAAGAAAGCACAGCTTGGCTGTGTGAGGAGAAAAGAATCTACTATAACGGGTTATTCTAGTGTGACCTACATCCACACAAAAACGGTGGGCATTGCGGGCAAGACGAGTATTACGAGCCCACGGCCTTGCCGGCGGCACACAGGATGCCATATGTACTAACATTACCCGTTAAAGTACCTGTAAAAGAGAGAGAGAGTGAAGCAACATTGTGGCAAAGAAAAAGGGAAGAGAGATTATCAACTAAAGGAGGAAAGTTAATACTACGAAATACCTTTGATTCAACCCTATCTAACACTGGACAGAAGAAACTTGAAGCAACTACTCAGGAGTGAAGTAGCTAAGGCATCTGTACAGTATTCTCACCATTTGATACCCAGCTTTACCAATGTTGTAGATGCGTGGCTTCCATGACATATTAGAGGAAATGGTGAGGCCTAGAATATCTATTTTAGAATTTGGCAGAATCTAATTTAGAAACTGTAATTGGTAAATACTGTGTTTTATTACTATTGAATTTAAGCATGTTTCTACCTCCCCATTCGGAGATGCTGCACAGATCCGCATTGATAGGTGAAATGATATTAGCTCTAGAAATCTGTTTCTAGAGATGATATCATTTTATATAGTTTGAGAATTAGGGGGAAAGGAAAAATGTGAAGAAGAGTGAAGAGTAGAATCATCAGCGTAAGAATGGATAGAATTAGTCGTAGTGTTGGTAAATCATTGATAAAAAGAAAGAAGAGAGTAGGTGAAAGAACAGAACTCTGTGGGACACCATTTGGGTAGAGAAAGAGCGAGAGATCGATCCCTTGACAACAACTGCCATTGATCGATTCTTAAGGAAGCTAGAAATTAGAGAACAAAGTGGGGGGGGGGGGCAGAAACCAGAAGAGGGAAGTTTAGAAAGCAAATACTTGTGCCATATCCTGTCAAATGCTTTGGAGATGTCGAGGGCCACGACGAATGTTTCCCCATATTCCCTAAGAGAGGATGACCAAATATGGGTGCAGTAGGAGAGCAATTCACCAGTAGATCTCGCCTGGCGAAAACCATATTGGTTATCCGACAAAAGAGAAAGGCGTTCATGGTGACGGAGAAAATAAGATTTTAAGATAGTTTCGAAAATCTTAGAGAGGGATGAAGTTAGGACAATGGGGCGATAGATAGAGGGATTGGGCTGAACCGAGCCATGCTTCCAAGAAGAAGGAAAAATTGGGGTTTTGAGGCAAAAGAGAAGGAGGCGAGAAAGCACACTCCCTCAGAACACGAGGGGGTATTCTTTCCAGTCCATGTGCGTTACTTACATCCAACACACCAGCGACCCTACAAGTGGAGATTATAAGATTATAGGAAAGTGCCTAGGTTCAGTAATAGGAACATGAGTAAGAGGGAAAGACTTGTAATCATCTAAAGTGGAGTTAGAGAAGAATAAAGTGCCAAAGAGATAGGCTTTATTAGGAGGAGAGTTGGCTATGGAGGTGTCAGGTCGGAAGAGAGGTGGAAAACAAGGAGTGCAGAAGTTATTACAGATCCTTTTGGTTAAGGACCATATGGATTTACTAGTAGAAGAGTTAGTCAGGTCAGCGTTCTTTATTTCTATAAAATTCCGCTTGGCCCTACGAAGAATAACATTACAGCGATTCCTAGACATAATAAAAGAGGAGTGGGTAATAGGGGGAGATAGTTTCATAACTTGATACGCCCTATCTTTCTCCCCACATGCAAGAGAACAGGAGCAATCAAACCATGATTGTAAAGTGAAAATTTTGTTAGAAGATGGGATAAATGCACTCATACCACCCAGTATAACCCCAGCAATACAGTCAGAACATACCGAGGCGTCCCGAATGGAAATGCATCATTCATCCTCAAGGAAAGTCGGAGACGAATTCTTGCAAGGATTGCTAGTTTGCCCTTCGATATTGCCATAGTTGGCTTTTAGAGAGGGGTGGGGGAGGTCGTCGTGCCCAGTTTGATTTAATAGAAATAAGATTGATATCAGAAGACCATAAGGGAGCAGAATTTAAGTATGAAGAGTGTCAAGGGTTAGACTCCGACTACCGTCAGAGGTTAAACAAAGATTAAGAAGGTTAGTAAGTTGATCGTGTCAATCAGGAACACGTGTAGGGTTTTTAATTATTTGTTATCATTAAGTAAGGACAAAGAGAGTGCCTCAGCTGCACCTGGGTCATCCCTTGCAGAGCCAAGCCACTCTCTGTGATGTACATTGAAATCCCCTAGGTAGAGGATCTCGGTGTTAGGGTGTGTGGATAGCAAAGACTCACGGTAGGGTTTGGCAGGGTTGGAAGAACAGTATAGGAAACAAAGAACAATACTTAGTTGGAAGAGATATTTAGATCCAGATGACATCATAAAGAGAAGATTCAAGCTCTGTGAGTCGAGCTATATAGGTGTACGTGTGTTGCAGTAGGCGCATACACCTCCCATAGAACGGAGAGAGGTATAAAGGTTGTAGATGGAGACTTGAAAAGGTTTGGTTAAAGCTGCTTTGGTCAGTTGAAGTTCAGATAGTAGTAAGAGGTCGGGGGCAGAGGCTAATAGATGGTGCTCCACAGATGAAAAATTGGATCTCAGGCCGCAAATGTTGGAAAAAGGGAGAGTGAAAAAAGCCGATCCTCCAGCAACCGCGGTGTCGTCAGTTGAGGCCGCAATAGTTTGATGATGATCAGGTCGGCCCTGGGGTCCAAAACCTTCCCGACCAGTGGGACCCATCCACTGAGGTCCCGCTTTAATATTATTGTCAAGTAATAACATAGGAGAATGAAAGAATAGAAGGAATAGAACAGATCAAGAGTGAGGAAGATTATATATGGGGGAGCTGGTCACGGGTTCGATTCCCGGGCCGGCGGAAGTTGTTTGGACACTCTTCCTAGTCCCTTTGGTCCCTGTTCACCTAGGAGCAATGTAGGTACCTGCTATAAGTCGAAAGTTGCGAATTCGTATTCAGGGACAAGTTGTTGGAACTTCCATTAACTTGCTTAGACAAAAAAACCATTGACTCTTCAGGCTTCTACGCCCTCGACTCTTCATGCTTCCACGCCCTTAACTCATAAGACAAGCATGAACTTAGCATGCTTCCCTGTTGGGCTCTGTAAACGCTTCTGCGCTTCACCTTACACAAGGATGTAGGGGGGTGCCCAATAAATGAAACAAAAATATGTTGTGTTGTCAATAGTATGAGAGACAATTGAGACCCTGTAATTGTCCGTAAATGAGGCAGAAAGTCAGATCAGCAACCTGGGACTTGATCACAATTTTCTTGATGCCATATGGCAGCAGGGACTACCATTAGACAACACATTATGCTTCCAATATCTTCCCAGGCGGTAGTACCTCCCTGTTTGGTAGCTGCCTACTACCTACTACACATACAATATATCTCAATCTATCCCTCTCTCTCTCTCTGTCTCTCTTTATATATATATATATATATATATATATATATATATATATATATATATATATATATATATATATATATATATATATATATATATATATATAGGATGATTCAGCAAAGAGTACATTAAATTCGAGGATGAAATCTTTGGATAATTCTAAACCACAATGTCTCTACTGTATGGTAAAATGTCAGATTCTGCATAGTTTCTATGTTACAATACATTTAAGATGTTTTTGTATTAATTTATTCACAGATGTCTTATGTACAGCAGTACAGCGTGATATAGATGGCTGACACAGGTGCAATGAGACAGGGACCGTGTACGACCGAAAAAGATAAAGGCAGTTACAGGGGGGGAGGGAGTTTCACATCAAATCTATCTATCTATCTATCTATCTATCTATCCATCTGTCTCTCTTTCTGTCTTTCTGTCTGTCTGTCTGCCTGCCTGTCTGTCTATCTATCTATCTATCTATCTATCTATCTATCTCTATCTGTATGTCTGTCTGTTTGTCTGTTTGTCTGTTTGTCTATCTATCTATCTATTTATCTATCTATCTATCTATCTATCTATCTATCTTCAGTAGTACAGCATATAAAAGATATTGGTAATTATCAAATCACTAAAAAATATCAAACTTTCAATTTAAAAGAAAAAGATCTGGTTTATTATTCTCTTCAATCTACCATATACTATGTAATGCAGACGTCCCTGGATTAATAGTTACCAGAAACGCTGTAAACTTACCACCAGAATATAGAACATTATCGAAGCTGTGACTAGCACCATCCCCAGCAGGCTTTCTACTCTTCTGGATATAGCTGTAACCGACAAAGCTGACTGCAACCATCACAAACAGCACGGCTACAACAATGCCAGCGACTCCACCAGCATCTAGTCCACTATCGCCGCCTGCAAATATAAGTTTATGCTAAGAGGAGCAGTAGACATATCCTTCACTTACATTATGAAACACGATGGTAGTACAACAAACACACTCAGTCACACGCTCAGCCTTATGAGTGTAAACTATTGTATTAATATCGGTTTAACTACACTATTTTCAAGTGTCTATCACTTCTTAGTTGTACAGAGGTATAACACAAACCCCTTTCCCCAATGTTGCTACATATAATCTCCTCCTAACCTCCTAGTGTGTGGGTGGTGATGGTGCGGCCAGTGGGCGGTAACTTACCTCCACCTGGTGTGTGTGTGGTGATGGTTCGAACAGTGGGCGGTAACTTACCTCCACCTGGTGTGTTGGTGGTGGTGGTATGGGCAGTGGGCGGCGGGGGGTTGGTTGGTTCTTGAACTGATATAAAGAGATCATATTTAACACATGTTATACATTTCAGTTATTATCATTTGTATAAATGTGTAAATTCCATGTGTTTTGTTGAAACGTCATTAGGTTTATTTTCATGGTAATTATATCAAGTTGAATTACTTTTTAAGGTTTTACAGATGAAAGATCTCTGGTTGGAACAGATCGCATCATTCCAGCGGCCAGTGGTGGGGTTGGCTTCTGTGCACTGTTCCTCTATATTACTTGGTTGTCCATCTTGCCAGTACATGAAGTTGTATCCACTGTCGTCACTCCAGCCAAAGTCTTTTGATTATGAAAGGAATAGGACTGTATCATGTCGTCTATACCTTGATTGTTGTACATTATTTTCATACAAAGAGATAACACTTCAACATAATGGTGTTTGATACGTCTTACATTGATTTCTTGTCACAATTCATTTTACATTTTATGTTCTGTTGACAAGATGTTACGATATAGTTATTTACCTCTTAATAAAATAATGAAGGAAGATACTTGTAGATGTGAAGTAATTAATAATATTTTTTAACTACTCTCATTACATATTTGTACAATGAGAGTCAAAACTATCTCCCCAGTTTTGTCTGACTTTTAATCTGACGAAACAATCAAAGATTTATCTAGACTACATGATTATGGTCAGTTGGAATGCCCTACCTATCCGGAACATAAAGCATAGCCTGGTTCGAAACAACCCAAAGTGGTTACTGTGGTAAATTATATATTCCAAAATCATAAACAATGGACAGCAGGGATGCCCAGACAGCGTGTCGGAAGGCTCAAGTATTCAGCGATAATAGTCATTCAAAACTGTGAAGATAGTTTTGTCGCTCACTGCAAATGTTCCTTCTTTCTCCTTTACTGTTGTTGCTACAACTTATGTTTTACAACAGATGACATTGAAAAGATCAACATAACAATGTACTTAATCTGCAGTATATTTTTATTTAGGTGTTCACTTGTCACACTCAGAGGTGTTACAATCAGCATAATATATCTATTGTCTCCTACACGTAACCCTATACTCTACTAAAATAATCTTTCACAAATTCCTTCTTCTTATTGTTATTAATCTTCAACAATGCTAACCTAAAAAAATTGCTACAAAAAATCTGGGTTGTTTATATTAATATTACTATCCTCATTTATGATAACCAAATCTCTCATAATAAAGGTAGAAAAAGTTCCTACACCAGCCCTCTTACTGTTTGCAAACTTCATTGCTTTCGTAACTTAACTGTTAAACTGTCAGGTACTTATTCTTAATTTAATTATTCGCACATTATTTGTCAAATGTTTGTAGTAATAGCAAAACTACATTATACTTGAATATGAACTTATCATATCCAATTAAAATACCTTGCCCTACGACTTGGAACTCGTGTAACTAATATGTAGCGTTTAAAAATATAGTAAAGCTGATAAATATACATAATGGTGACATTAGATGTGTACATTGCTTTTGTCACTCAGCTTTTAGACCAGCTTGACTAAGTACTGTAGATACCACTTGAGAGTGAGCCATCTAGTGCAGGACTTAAAATATTGTCTACTAAATAACTCACCAACAACATCAAAAACCAAACCTACCGTCTCCCTTTTGTACAAGACCAATCCACAGTGGTAACTCTGTATTCTTCGTTGCCATGGTGATAAGTCCCATCTCTTCACTTGAGTGAATGGATACAAGGTTGGCATCCTTTTGCAAGCAGCTGCACACAATCACATTACTTATTAGTGGAAATTTATTTGGAATGATAGCGTTTAAATCCAACAATTTTAACGAAGAATTTATTCTTAATTAATTGATGAAAACTGCCCAATGTGTTTAACTTAATATAATCCAAAAATATATGATAAAGTTATATTAGATGGATAAAACTGGAATTAATTCACTAACGAGACGAAAATAAGTAATAGAGTTAATCCGGGGAAATTAGGAAAAAAAGTTGAACTAATTCATAATGAAATGATACGTGTCGGAAATAATGAGAGTGCATTTTTAAACAACATACCAGGCATCCTGACCGATCCTAGGTGAGCTTTTGTCGCCATCTTGAAAAAATGGCGGCCGTTCGCAGTTTTTCATGTTTTACCCATTAACCGTTGATTTTTGAGATATGATACGGAAAAAAATATACAATAAAAACATTCTGCACATTTTGGTATATTCAGTTTTTGTGTACGATTAATACTTTCCGAGAAAAAATCTCTATTACTGGCCATACCCATGAGGTACAGTACAGTACGTTGCGCGTTTTTTTAATGTGGTTTCCCCCTGTAAACCTATTCCCCGATTAGTGTTTTTATGACTGTTTCGTTCTCTTTGCAACTTGTTCAGTACTAGTAGTTACACATGAAATTTGTGAGTCAAATTCAGTGCCGTTGTGATAATTAAGGTCAGTATCAATTGTGCATTCATTCTCAGGAGTATCCTTTACATTATAATCTTCCACAGCAAAACTGTATTGGGTTTCATCATTATCCTTGTCATCACTGTCAGTATCAAGAATAGAGAGATCATCATCTATGGCATGTTCATCAAAATCGTCGTCTTGGAAATGAATGTTGTAGGACATACTGTTGGTACATGCTATTCCTTGACAGTAACTGCATATATTCGAGGATCTTATGCCATCTTTTTTGCAGCTGCATCGTCCATCACAACTCTTTTTGCATGTGCAAAATATTAGTTTCAGAAGTGACTCTGGAGCTGCTGCCTGAAGGGTTGGAATAGGGAGCAAACCATGAGATGAATTTTCCATCCCCAAGAGTCAAATGGTAATAGATTACCTCGCCACAACTTAATTTGATGGTAAACAAGCAGAAAGTACATGCGTGCAGCTGTTGTTGTAGGCGGCAGTCTTGCAAGTTAAACTGCACTATTACTGACACCAAGTTATTGATGTGATACTGATTTAAAACGGTTTCACTCGTAGGTGCCCTATTTTGTTCAAGAAGGAAAAGTTCTCCTACTCTAGCAATTTCATCTGGGGAGGCATTCCTGTCATTAAAAAGGTGCAGGAGAGATTGTATGTCATTACGCTTTTGTAAAAAGTTTAGATTTTTTTTTGCCTGCAGTTCTGTGGAGGAGTACAGCTGATTGCTAGTGTTACCTTTGCCTGGCTTAAAGAGAAATACGTTCCTGTCTCCTGGAGTTAATGCAGTGAACAGAACTAGGAGATATACATCTTCGCCTACATCTGCAAAATATGCATTAATTCATGCAATGAAAATTGGCAGTCATTGCTGTCCTCAATGAAAGAACACACTCGGGCACATGTTGATGCAAGGTCTTTCATCGGTGGTCGGCCTCTTTTTTCATTTGCTGGCACTCTGCAAAAAGGATGACATACAGTTTTCATGATATACAGCTTCTTCAGCTACCAAGCAAGATGCACCACATAATCGACTGCTTTCTTCTTTTCCCCAAGAATCATCCCGTTTATTCGCTTTCTCGAGAACCTTTTCTTTGAAGCCTAAAGTCATAAAACTCCAAATTTTCCGCCGCCTATGTACAGGTTTCTTCTTTTCTGAGTCTCTGTTACATACTTCTGAACAAAAAAAGGCAGCATCTCCTGAAATCAAATGCAGAAATTGCAGATCTCAATTTTCCTTTTACTGGAGAAGCTGTCAAACTTCCATTTTCTGTTGTACCTTCCAATCGCTTCTTTACTTTGACTTTGTTTGTATCTTCCTTTGTGTATTCCTTCCTACAGTTTTCATGTACTCTTACTGTTTGCCTGTCTTTCCACAGATTCCATTTCCCATCTTCTAACATTTCACTGGCTCTAGTCATTGTAGGAAGAGACCCCTCTTGACAGAGACTACCTTCCTGTGGAGAGGCTTTCATCACACAAAGGACACATTTCTTCCATTTTCAGCAAGATGTTTCAAACAGTTTGTAATTATATATCACTTTATTGTTCACCACATAACGTACTCAGTTCTTCCATTTTCAGCATATTTCAAGTTGTCTATATGTTTCGCTTTGTATATGTAATATTTCACTGTTTAATTGTCCGCATATATCATTTAAGTAAGGTTGTCCATTTTACATTAGTGCCTGGAAAATAGAAAAGCAAAACAGACATTATATTCTTGTTTTTCCCCCCACTGGAACAATAAAAGTGTCAAAATTAGTGGTGGGTTGTAGCTATAGTGGAAACAAAATGTTTTCTCAGAACGTATTAATCCTACTCAAAAGCTGAATATACAAAAAAAATGAAAAATTTTACGCTCTTTTATTTTGTTGTCATATATCAACTCCCTAAAATCAATGATTAATGAGTAAAACATGAAAAACCACGAATGGCTGCCATTTTTTCAAGATAGCGGCGAAAGCTCACCTCGGATTGATGAGGATGTTTAATATGTTGTTTAAAAACGCATTCCTAATAATTTTACCAAGTATCATTTCATTATGAATTAGTTCAACATTTGGCATAAAAGTTTTCTAATTTCCCTGGACTAAGTATCCTCGTAACCATATGAACAATATTAGAGATTTAAATAAATTACACGAGGAACAACACACTGGAGTGAATCATCCCAGACACACAGATAAAGACAGAAATTGATGAAGATGCTCGAGCCTCAGTATAGGTAGCACATTGGGAGAAAAGATCAGACAATGATTTACACATGAACGTACTGTACATTGATAAATGGGAAACTCTGAGATAGGTAATAGGGAAGACATTTACGCAAAAATTTAATGTGTAAAATTTTTCTATTTTCAAGTATTTTTTTTAATGTAATAATTAAATTGTTCTTACAACATATTGGCGTCACTCCAGATCTTGGGTTGGCTATAAATAAGGTAGCAGTAACTGCCGCCGAGGTCGAGCCAGTCAGTGTTTGGGCAGTGGCCAGTGTGTGAGGGGTCCGGGGTGGGCACTGTGCCTGGGTGAAAACAACACTAACCTCAAACATGGATTTACAACTTTACTGAAAAGGAAGTCTTGCTTCTAAAACCTTAAGAAAAATAAATTGTACATACTATAATTAGTCAATACAAATTACAACAAAGACGCATACCTTAATATCCTAGGAACCTTAATATTTACATTAATTCATACCACACTATGCATGTTGTGGCTGACCAAATGATAATACTTTACCAAAATTTATTATTTAAAATTATCTATCTAATGAGCATCACCTGATGAAGAACACATTCTTGGGTTAGAAACAGTTTGTTTAGTCATTCATTTTGGTACAAGTGTTTGTTAGGGAGGTAATACCATAACAACCAAACTTTTATAATGCTTTAAGTCAGCAAGAGTGGCAAATATATTAAAATTTACCAAAAATTTCTTCAGATACAAAAGAACATATACGTTTTACTGAATGTTAAAAAATCATCATGAAACATGAATTATTGTTTTATATATATTTTTTACAGATTCACACAGTTTAATGTCACTGAGCTTTCGGTGAATTCCCGTAATTTTATTTTGCTTAATGTTCTATGGTAGTTAGTGAGTTACTTCGTACATTTGTCTTATAATCTAAACATTACTGAATATGGCTGGTTAAAATTAGGCTAGGTTTCAAACACAAGCAAATTAGATAGGTCAATCAACCACTCTAAGTGCCATCCTTATGGATGAGCGTTAGCGACCACGATCTTTCACTCTTGAATGAGTTCGTGCTGTTTTACCGACCCTCCCAGATTTTGTATCTCTCTGGGTACACAGTTTTTAATTTAATTCATTCGTCCCAGTCATGCCTTCCCCTGGCCCTCCTATCATCAATTTTACCTAAATAAAAGTCTACTATTATCACCTCATCCCTAATAATAGGGCCAAAGTATTTCATTATCTGTATTCTACAACTTTCAAGTATTACAGGTCAAATAGTTGTAAATACGCTACAATTCAAATTGTTTCATGACTTACCATTTTTATATTTACAGATGAATGGTCTGGCGTCGTCACATTCTTCTGCAGTCCAATGGCCATTTACAGACTTGATTCTGACACAATTATTGTTGGTGATACTCACATTAAGTTGGCCATTGTCCCAGTTGGTGTATATAGTTGGCCAGCCATCAGACCACTTATACACTTGTTTGTCCTATAAGAACATAAGAACATAAGAATGGAGGAAACTGCAGCGGGCCTATTGGCCCATACTGGGCAGTCCGGCTTACACCCAACCCCTATTGCTCATATAAACATCCAACCTATGTTTGAAGCTATTCAGCGTATTCGAGCTAATGATGATTTTTGGCAACTTGTTCCATTCATCCACTACTCTGTTTCCAAACCAGTGTTTACCTATTTCACGCCTAAATCTAAATTTGTCTAATTTAAAACCATTGTTACGAATTCGCTCCTGGTTGGATAATTTGAGTACCTTTGTAATGTCCCCTTTGTTTAGCCCTGCCTTCCACTTATACACCTCTATCAGGTCGCCCCTCGCTCTACGTCTCTCGATGGAGTACAAATTAGGATGCTTTAACCTGTCTCTATACTCAAGGTTCCTAATGCCCGGGATTAGTCTTGTCATTCTTCTCTGAATTCTTTCCAAGGATTCTATATCCATTCTGTAATACGGTGACCAGAACTGAACTGCGTAATCCAGGTGTGGTCTCACGAGAGCAAGATACAGTTTTAGGATGACCTCGCTAGTCTTGTAACTAACACTCCTTTGTATGAACCCAAGTACTTTATTAGCCTTGTTATATAAGAAAGATCCACGCTCTCAAAGAAATTCCTTAAGAAAATTTATATTTCTACTACAATTAAGAATAAAATATTTAGCTTATAATTGCCCATGAACTATTTGTATATCAACAATTTGCTCATAAAACACAAATAGGATTTGTTTTTATAAGCTAAAACCAAATTTAGTGCATAAATATGGATCACGCGCACCTACAGTGATTTACTTGCATATATATATATATATATATATATATATATATATATATATATATATATATATATATATATATATATATATATATATATATATATATATATATATATGCAAGTAAATCACTGTAGGTGTGCTTGATCTAGGTATATGCTGATAACCACAATGAAAGAAGAAAACACGAAGTTCCCAAGCGCTTTCGTGTAATTCACATCTTCAGGGGTGAGTACAGACTAAGGAGAAGTACAAAACAAGGTGTATATATACAGAGGAGGGTGAGATCAGGTCCACAATGGTCAGGTATTAGGTAATGACCCTACTAATCTTTAAATAGCACCGCAACGGTCGGTAGTCAGGTCAGAGGGTAAGGTGACCAGGTGAGAAGGTTGTCTAGGAATGGTAATTTACAGTCTTGCTCTAATTCCACAGTGAATTTGATCGAGGGGGCTAAATTGTTAAGTTGTGGCAGGAAAGCTTTTAGGTCCTCATTACATGGCCAGAGACATAATACATCATCAACATATCTAAACCAGACCAGTTTCTTTTCAAAGAATTCGATATACAGGTTGCTTAATACAGGTGAGAGTGGATTACCCATTGCCATACCAAATTTTTTAGCATAATATTCTCCATTGAATTCAAATTTACAATCCTTAATACATAGTTTGATGAGTTCGATGAAGTCGTCTTTCGAGACGGGCAATGAAATATTATCCAGGGAATCTATGAGGAACTCTAGTAAATCATCAACTGGGACCTTTGTAAAGAGTGATGTTACATCAAAACTGGCATTTAAAAACTCATGCACTGTTAAACAAATGTTAATCAAGAACTCCCCCAACAACACAATTGGTTGCATTTATAAAGTTCCTTGCAAGGAATGTAATATGTTTTACTTAGGCCAGACAGGTAAAGATCCTGTTAGGACAGGCCAGGAATCCAATGCTCTGTTTGTTCATTTGAGGGATAACAAGCATTGCATTGACTGGGATAATTCCTCCTCAATATTACCTTGTAATTCAATTGATAGTAGGAACATCATAGAATCTAGTCTCATTAAACATACCGAAGCATTCAATATGAATTTGAGTAATGGCATGTACAAACTGGACAATTTTGTAATTAAGAAGATTTGTAACCAGGTGAGAAGGTTGGGTCACTTTACCCTCTGACCTGACTACCGACCGTTGCCATGCTATTTAAAGATTAGTAGGGTCATTACCTAATACCTGACCATTGTGGACCTGGTCTCACCCTCCTCTGTATATATACACCTTATTTTGTATTTCTCTTTAGTCTGTACTCACCCCTGAAGATGTGAATTACACGAAAGCGCTTGGGAACTTCGTGTTTTTTTCTTTCCTTGTGGTTATCAGCATATACCTAGATCACGCGCACCTACAGTGATTTAATTGCATATATATATATATATATATATATATATATATATATATATATATATATATATATATATATATATATATATATATATATATATATATATATATATATATAGAATATATATATATATATATATATATATATATATATATATATATATATATATATATATATATATATATATATATATATATATATATAATGCAAGAATATTATATTCAACAAATAGTTATTTTCATAAGCAGCTTTGTACTAAATCTAGGAACTGTGAATGTGAATTGGAAGATGTAGTGTGTAAATCAGTCTAGAAGGAGGAACTTAAAGTATTCTTTCAAAAAAATATTTTGTATAAAGAATTACCACACTTAACGCATTTATATTGGCCTTCTGTAAACAACACAGGCGACTTTGATGGTTATGATGAGTTATAAATTATGAATATGACTTTTTCATTATATAAATATACAAGTAAAAGAAGTGTGTGTGTGTGTGTATATGTGTGTGTGTGTGTGTATATATGTGTGTGTGTGTGTGTGTGTGTATTGATCGCAATTGTGAGGCAACTCCACGATGGCAAAACGACAGTGTCTTGCACAATGGCACCCAGTCTGAGTTCTTCCCCGCCCAAACGGGGGTAAAACAAGGATGCATACTGGCACCAAATATCTTTTCCATTTTCTTGGCTGCCTTTCCTTTGCCAGTACCACTTTAGTCGGCGGCGTGGACATCGAGTACCGGATGACTGGTCTTTTCAACATGAGACGATTCCAGGTAGGAACAAAGGTGTCGGCAGCTTTCATTAGTGAGCTTCACTATGCAGTCGACCTCACCCTCGTCACTCACACTGAACGCAACCTACAGGAGATCCTGAACACTTACGCAGGTGCGTATGTACACTTAAGCCTTGAGGTGAATGTATCTAAGACTCAAGATTCTCTTTCAGCCTGCCCCTGGCTCAGCCACACCTGCACCATCCATCCAACCTAACGGTACTACCCTCACTAATGTTACCCACTTTCGGTATAAGAACATACGAAAATAAGGAGTCTGCAATAGGCCAGTTGGCCTGTGCATGTCAGCTCCTGTCGAGAGTTACTACCACTCTCTATCATCCATGAATCAATCCAGCCTCCCTTTAAAACTTTCCAGCGTTCCAGCATTTACTACAAAGTTGCTAAGCTTGTTCCACTCGTCCATCACCCTATTTGTAAACCAGTTCCTTCCTATCTCCCTCCTAAACCTAAACTTATCCAACTTGAATCCGTTGCTCCGAGTCCTATCCTGCTCGGATATTATAAGAACTTTATCTATATCGCCTTTATTGATTCCTTTCACCCACTTGAATACTTCTATCATATCTCCCCGCACTCTTCGTCTTTCTAGGGAATGCAAGTTTAGTTTCTTTAACCTATCCTGATATGGAAGGTTTCTAAGTCCCGGAATCATTTTCGTCATTCTTCGCTGCACCGACTCTAGTGAATTGATATCCATTCTATAATAAGGGCACCAGAACTGAACAGCATAATCGAGGTGCGGCCTGACTAGCGCAAGATATAGTTGCAATAAGACCTCTGCACTCTTATTACTTACACTTCTAGATATAAAACCCAATACAGTACTCTGATTGCCTTATTTCGAACATTAACGCACTGTTTTCTAGGCCGTAGGTCCTGGCTTACAAGTACCTCTAGGTCTCTTTCACAAGTCGACTTCTCTAGGTTGATGTTGTTAAGGCTGTATACATTGACAGTATTTGTTCTTCCAATATTAAGTACGCTGCACTTGCTGGTGTTGAATTTCATTTGCCATTTTTCAGACCACCCCTGCAGTTTATTTAGATCTTCCTGTAATGCATTTGCATCCTGGTCTGAATTAATCTGCCGCCCTATTTTGGTGTCATCCGCAAACTTGCTTATGTCACTGCTGACCCCAGTATCTAGATCGTTTATGTAGATTATGAACAAGAGTGGGCCTAGTACTGACCCCTGGGGAACCCCACTGGTTACACGACCCCACTCAGATTTAACACCATCTACGCTGACCCTCTGCGTTCTGTCGGTGAGCCATGATTTTATCCAATTTAAAACTTTACCCTCGATACCATGAGCCTTAATTTTTCTCAGAAGCCTCTGATGCGGTACTCTGTCAAATGCTTTGCTAAAGTCTAAGTAAACAACATCATAATTTTCGTCATTATCTACTACCTCGAAGACTTTCCTAAAAATGTCATCAGATTTGTTAGACAAGATTTTCCTTTTGTAAACGCATGTTGAGAGTCATAGATTAATTTGCTTTTCTCTAAATGAGATCGGATGTTATCTGCTATAATTTATTCAAGAAATTTCCCCACTACTGACGTCAAACTGATCGGCCGGTAATTTGATGCTGATGCTCTGTCTCCCTTTTTTAATTTGGGTACTACATTTGCCTGTTTCCACAAGTCTGGCACAACTCCGGTGTCTAATGATTTTGTAAATAAGTTTACGAGGGGTCCGCTAATCTGTTCCCTACACTCTTTCAAGACTCGAGGGAAAATTTAATCCGGCCCTGGGGATTTTGTCTTCTTTAGTTTATTTATCTTATTAAGAACATCCTCTTTTCTGATAGTGATATTCTTTAATTTCTCTTCTTCCTTTCCCTTAAATATCAGTTCCACCTCTGGAATTTCACCATGAATTTCCTCTGAGAAAACTGATAAGAAGTAGTTGTTCAATGCTTTGCTTATTTCTTCACTGCCATTTATCACTTCCCCCCTCCCTGACTTTAAAGGCCCAACTTTGTCCTTGACCTTTGTTCTATATACCTGGAAAAATCCCTTGGGATTCTCCTTGGATTCTCTTGCTATTTTGATTTCATAGTCTCTCTTTGCTTTCCTTACATTTTTCTTAACATTCCTAGATAGTTCATTATACCTATTTCTGAGCTGCGCCTCCCCTCCCTTTAATTTCTTATATATTCCTCTCTTTATTCCTATGTCATGTTTAAGTTTCCTGGTCATCCACCTTGGCTCATTCTTGTTTGACCTAATTTTTCTATATGGTATATCTTGTTCTTGTCGTATACTAGTGAATATATTATAGTCATGATCAATTGTTGTGTCATCTGTAACTTCATCCCTTCCTACTGGGGACTGACCTGCTGTTCCCAGGTGACCTCACCTAGGTACCTTCTTAACCCCTGATAATCCGCCAACTGAAAGTTTGGGACTCTGACCATATTGTCATTGTTTTTCGTTTCCCAATTTAGGGTGAACCTGATTTCTCTGTGATCACTGTTACCTAGTTCTTCCCCTACTGTGATATCTCTGATAATATTTTCTTTATTTGTTAATACTAGGTATAATATATTGTCACCTCTAGTAGTTTCTGTATCTCGGCTCCCACCTGTCCACCACTGCGGACATCGATGAAGAGATTCAACATCGGATCAGATATGCATCTCAAGCCTTTGCTGAAATCAATTATCTACAAAGTTGCGTTTATATCGAACAGTGGTTCTCCTCACCCTGCTATATAGCAGCGAGCCATGGGTCACATACAGGAGGCACCTCAATGAGCTTGAAAACTTTCACCAACGTAGTTTACGTTCCATCCCCCGAGTTCGCTGGGAAGACAAGAGAACAAATGCTAGCATTCTTGCTGACATCAACTGTAGTAGCATCGAGGCTACCATTATCCATGAACAACTACGCTGGACTGGTCATGTTACCCGCATGGACGACAGTAGACTGCCAAAGCAGCTACTTTACAGTCCTCTAGCGAATATTAAACGTAACACTGGCGAGCAACTGAAAATGTATAAGGATAGTTTTAAGACAAACCTGAAAGTGCCAAATTGACCCCCCTCACCTGGGAGACGATTATTTCACACTGTAACGCTTGGAGGAGCACCACACAAGAAGGAGTCAATACTTTCAAGTTAGCCCGACTGCATAACGAGGCAGACAAGCGCCAACGCCGAGAAGATGCTGCCGCCGCCCCTCGCGCACTAGATGTAGCCCTACACATATGCAACATCTGCGAACGGCGCTGCCGGTCCCGTATCGGCCTCTTTAGTCACCTCAGAACTCACCAACGTTCGTGACATCCTCAAAACTCATATCATTGTATCTTAGCTGGATGATCGTCATACTCGATTCCGAGTGATAGCAAACTAGTAGTAGTAGTAGTAGTAATGTGTGTGTGTGTGTGATGTAGTAGGGAAGGGATGTTCCATATTTTAAGAAGAAAATATTAGCTGTTTGAGACTAAGGAATATGAATTGAATTTTTAATAAAAAATAAACCAAGGAAAATCATTGTAAACACACACAAAAATAGAAAATTCTGCCCCTTTCCGGGGTTATACAATAAGACATACTGGACTAAGAATTCTGACAAATGTACTTGTTTTATATGTATTCTTGTTAATTTTTCGTATTACATATACGTGATGCAGAGAATATATCGTATTGGTTACACAAAGCATCACACAATTAGTAGTACCAACATTAACAAATGAGCATGACCTCAGTCAGTGATCGTTGCGAAGGCTGTCAGACCAAGGGGTGGATATATTTTTTTTACTGTGCAATAATAATTTGGTTCTCTTTTGAGCAAATTTAGACACAGCCGTTTGTGTCATCATATGTTCACTACACATTACAATGATGACTTTGTTAATATAAAATCTAATTAATCAACAATTGTGGTAGACATGATAAACCACCTGCAAATTATTCAGTCCAATCCAAGCATCGCTAATGGCACCCTCCTGGATCAATACCCACATCAGTCCATCTTCTGAGAGGTCATTTACAGAAGCCAAGTGAGCTCCCTCGCTGACACATGCTGTCTCGGCATCCTGTAAGATATATATATATATATATATATATATATATATATATATATATATATATATATATATATATATATATATATATATATATATATATATATATATATATATATATATATATATATATATATCAAGAGGCATAATTATTGATAAGTTAAAAGTTTTACGATGTTTTTCTTTGCAGTTTGAGCTGTTTTTTTTGGGTGGTAATGGCATCCCAAAATATTGGTTGTCTTGCTGCTCAATGTATTTTTCCTACAGTCTTATCCTTATTATGAACATACTCCATCAATTGAATTGTTTTATTTAACTGAGACTATAATATTAATTTCTTTATTTTTTAACTCCCCAAAATACCTCCATCCAGTAATTAATACAATTATTACATGCCATTGTCATTTACTCATTTAATATCTTACAATCAAACTCAGTATCATCTATAATACATCAAAAGTCTGAAGAGCTGAATACTTTTGTATTTGCATTCTGTATTTCTTTGCTACATATTTTTCATAATAACAGACACAAATAACAATACTACAATATATACACATTCGGAAGATTATACTCTGTTAGTTCAAAAGGGAAGAGGTACACACACACACACACTGGTTTTAATAAACGATCTTGTGAAATGTATCTCAGCTTTTGAGAAGGTAAAGACGATTATGGATCACAGTAAAATCCGAAGTTTGTAAGACAATTATACTAAAGTAGAGCTCCAATTGTGTATTTTTTTTAAATTCTGCAAAAGAAATACAACAAAATAAATTCTAAACAAAATTTAACCAGGAATATTTAACATATTTCCGTACGGCGTAAAGTGAAAAACATAAATTTACTAATTATTGTATGTTTTGAGCATTCAGCATAATATCTGTTTTATTCTTTCTATTTTTTATTCTCCTCTGAAATCAGCTAAAGCGGGCTCTTCTCGGATGGGTCCCTCTGGTCGAGAAGGTTGTGGATCCCAGGGCTGACCTGATGATTGTCACACTACTGGGGCTTCAGCTGACGTCACCATGTTTGCTGGAGGATCGGCTTTTTTCACACTTAATTTTTTCCAACATTCGCGGCCTGAGATCCAATTTTTCTTCCGTGGAGCACCATCTATTAACCTCTTCCCCCGAACTCCTACTACTATCTGAACTTTAACTGACAAAGGCAGCTTCACCCAAATCTTTTCAAGTCTCCAACTACAACCTTTATACCTTTTCTCGTTCTAATGGAGGTGTACAGTATGCACCTACTGCAACATACGTACACCTACAGCTCGTCTAACGGATCTTGAATCATCTCTTTATGATGTCATCTGGCTTAAAATATCTCCACCAATTATGATCAATTTTCTTTGTTTCCTATACTGTTCTTCCAACTCTTCTAATTATTTGAAACTCTTTGACTATCTCACTTCTTGTCATGAGTCGTTGCTATCCACACACCCCAACACCGAGATCCTCTACCTAGGGGAGTTCAATGTACATCACAGAGAGTGGCTTGCCTCTGCAAGGGATGACCCAGGTGGAGCTGAGGCACTCTCTTTTTCCTTACCTAATGATCTGGAACAAATAATTAAAAATCCAACACATGTTCCAGATAAACACGATCAACTTACTGACATTCTTGATCTTTGTTTAACCTCTAACCCCTCACACTATTCATACTCCATTTCTGCTCCCTTAGGATCTTCTGATCACAATCTTATTTGTATTAAATCAAACTGGGCACGACCACCTCCCCCACCCCCCTCTAAACGCCAGCTATGACACTTTCGGATCGGAGGGCAAACTGGCAATTCTTGCAAGAATTCTTCTTCGACTTTCCCTGGGATATGTGTTGCTAATCCACTCGGGACGCCTTGGTATGTGCTGACAGCATTGCTGGGGTTATACTCGGTGGTATGAGTGCATTTATCCCCTTTTCTACCAAAACTTTCATTTTACAATCATGGTTTGATCGCTCCTGTTTCTTGCATGTAGGGAGAGAGATAGGGCATGTCGAGTTATGAAACTATATCCTTCTCTTATTACCCACTCCTCTTTAATTACTTCTAGGAATCGTTGTAAGGTTATTCTTCGTAGGGCCAAGCAAAATTTTATAAAAAGAAAGACCGATGACCTGACTAACTCTTCTTCTAGTAAATCCTTCTGGTCCTCAACCAAAAACACCTGTAATAACTTCTGCACTCCTTCTTTCCCCCTCTCTGCCGACCTGATAACTCAAAAGCCAACTCTCACCCTGATAAAGCCAATCTCCTTGGCACCTTATTCTCCTCTAACTTCACCTTAGACAATTCCAACTCTAACCCTCCTACTCCTCCTACTGAACCTATGCACTTTCTTATAATCTCCACTCGCACGGTTGCTGGTGTATTATCCAGGTTGCATGTGAGTAAGGCGTATGGACCGGACGGTATACCCCTTCGTGTTCTGAGGGAGTGTGTTGAAATTTTAGCCCCTGTGCTTGCTCACCTCTTTCGCCTTTGCCTCAAGACCCAAACTTTTCCTTCTTCTTGGAAGCATGCCTTGGTTCAGCCCATCCCGAAGAAGGGTGACCATTCTTATCCCTCTAACTATTGTCCCATTGCCCTAACTTCATCTCTCTCTAAGATTTTCGAAACTATCTTAAACTCTTATTTTTTCCGTCTCCTTGAACGCCTTTATCTTTTGTCGGATCACCAGTATGGCAATCGCCAGGCGAGATCTGCTGGTGATCTGCTTTCCTACTGCACCCATCTTTGGTCATCCTCTCTTAGGGATTATGGGGAAACTTTCGTCGTGGCTCTCGACGTCTCCAAAGCATTTGACAGGGTATGGCAAAAGCATTTGTTTTCTAAACTTCCCTCTCATGGTTTCTCTCCCCCACTTTGTTCTCCAATTTCTAGCTTCATTGAGAACCTATCTATGGCAGTTGTTGTCGAGGGATCGTTCTCTCGTTCTTTCTCTTCCAATAGTGGTGTCCCACAGCGTTCTGTTCTTTCACCTACTCTCTTCCTTCTTTTGATCAATGCGTTCCCTTACGCTACGACTAATTCTATCAATTCTTACGCTGATGATTCTACTCTTTACTCTTCTTCACATGTTTCCCTTCCCCGTAATTCTCAAACTTGATCTGTTTTTGGAGCTGATATCATTTCATTTATCAATGCAGATCTATGCAGTTCCTCCACAACGGGAAACACTCAGTTTGCCTCCTCAAGTAACCACTTAAACAATGATACTATCTCAGTCTCCGGTACCTGTGATCCACAAGTATTGTCATTGTCACAGATCTTTAACACCTTTTTCCAGGCGCGAGGGAGAACAGGACCCATTGTGTGGGGTCAACTGGACGAGACTAACATTTCAGTCTATTTAGATACAGGTGCTGAAGTTAATGTCATTGATTGTCATGTTTTAAATACTCTAGCTACGGATTCCTATTCTTGGTCAGACGTTCAACTACCTCGTATTACAGGTATAGACTGCCCAGGAGTTAATGTTACAGGTGCAATCCAGCTTAAGTTTAAATTGGGGAATACACACATAGATTGTTTGACCTATGTTGAGGACGGAATTTCTATTCCAGGGCATCTGTTAATCGGCTTCCCGACGATGAAAGCTCACCGTATAGTAATAGTCCCTCATGAGAATTTAATTACTGTCAACCAAGAAATCGTTAGTTTAGCCTAGTACCGTGCGGAATTACAGATTAACCGTCGCGTCGTCTGATGTTAACGAGGTTTCTGTCCCGACTAATTTAGATAGACAGATTCTTTCACACGGAAACGACCAATTAGGTGAAGTCTTCAATCCAGCAGTGGGGGCTGGCCCACACACTAACCCTTATTACTTCTCTGGCGTGTGTTCAGGGAAACTAACACATGATCTACATCTCTATCCTGATCAGTTAACCGCAGCTTCCTTCAAGTTAGATACTAACTGGTTAGAACAACGGGGTCTCGATCATACTAATCCTAGATTTAAGTTTTGATGTCTCGCCGAGCCGTCTACGGTGAAGGCGAAAGGGATTAACATAGACTGCTCGCTACACCAGAGTCATGATGGAACTGTGAAACTCTATCTGACCAGTAGACTCCCCTTTCATCAACGTCTCAGGCGTGGTACGAAGGTTGTTGCATTCTTTGTTCTTAAGGGATCCATTAAGGACGAAGAACTCAATGATTTTCAAGTCGCTGGAACTAACACAGTGCCTAACGTACTCACAGCACACTGTTATACTGAACAATCATCTAACCCCAGAACGACAAATCCCCCTTCATTAATTAACGCTAGCCACATTCCTCTTACGGGACTCGCAAAGGCCTTACCCACACTGTTAGATTTGCTCAACAAATACAGGTCAGCCATAGCACTCTGAGACAGACCCACCTTGTTCAACACAACATTGACGTGCAACCAGGCACTAATCTCGTCTACATACCTGCATACCGCCTCCCTCATCTCCCTCATTCACGGCGAGAAACGATAGACAAGTGTGTGGAGTACATGTTTGCCCAATGCGTAATACAAGCATCTAATTCACCTTGGAATTCTTCATTGTTACTTGTCCCAAAGCCAGACGGTTCCTGGAGGCCTTGCGTAGACTATCGTCGTCTTAACAAAGTCACTATCCCCAAGTGTTTCCCAATGCCTGTTGGGAGATCTGTTGAAGAGTCTAGGTCAGAGTAAAGTTTATTCAACCCTGTACTTGCCATCAGGTTTCTGTCAGGTACCATTGGACGAGAAAAGTCGACCCTTAACGGCCTTCAGTACACCCTCGGGACATTGGGAATTCCTATGCATGCCTTTTGGACTCAATTACGTTTTCTAGGTTGATGACAAGTATCTCTCGTTCCATATTAGGCTCTGAAGTCCTAGTTTACCTGGATGACATAATTGTCATGTCTCCAGACGTGTCCTCACATCTCGTGAGACTGGAACATGTGTTGGCTGAACATCTATCAAATTAGTTTTAAGAGTTGGAAGACCTATTAAACCATCAGCTAGTAAATTAAAGTCTTGGAC